TTGAAAATTTGGTCATATAATGAGTGATAGCTGATGACTATTATGACAATTATAACTTTGCTTAAAGTTAAGTACTTTAAGTATAAAACAATTTTAGTTTTACGTCAATAAACGCATTTTCATTTTTTCGTGACTTATATTTATCTGACGAGGGGTTGGGTGTGAAACATCAGCGATGCGGCAATTCTGATCCCATCATACGTGTAATAGGCGGCAATACTGCCCGTCCGGGTGAGTGGCCCTGGATGGCTAAACTTGTTATGCACCACGTGTCGCCGAGCATGCAAATTACCCAAATGAGCCAATGCGGTGGTTCACTGATTAACAATGAGTGGATATTGACTGCCGCCCACTGTCTTAATAATTTCGCTAACGGAGATGACATCACTTTCATTGACGCAACTTTTGGTGATATTGATAGAGATGCTGACCAAGGAAAGTATTATAAAGGCTAAATCAAGGAGGTTAGTAATATTTGTTATTAGATAATTATTATCATATGATATTCGATCAATAAAAATTTATATACAGCTGAATTGTAATAGTTTTATTTGTAATTTACATTTTTTTAAATGTCACTTTGTTATAACAATTCAACTATAAAAATCTATAAGATAGTTCACTTAAAGTACAATTTAAAATTTAAAAATAATATGTTCTATTTTTTAATTTAGATACTAATTTGACTAACTATATAATAATTTATCAAATTTAATTATTTAGAGACGCGTTCATCATGGTTACGACAATCAAACTTTTCACAACGATATCGCCCTGCTTAAGTTATATGAACCGCTAGATCTGGAAGGTATGGCAAACTTTCTCGAGCCCGTATGTTTGCCCGAGGCTAACGAACAAAAGCGTGTGGGCACGCTGTGCGTGGCCACCGGTTGGGGAAACACCATAAGCAATCAAACGAGCATTTCAGAAACGTTGCGCCATTTGAATTACCAATTGCAAATAATACTTTGTGTGCTCAAAGATTTCCAAGTATTTAATATTTTATACATCGCATTTATGTTTAAATACTACCTGCTTTCTCGAATCAAAATGTTATTTATTTAAGTTATATCGCTCAATGTGTCGACTAGATACTATAACCAATATTTTTTAATAATGTGTTGTATAGAATTGCTCGACCTTATTGTTGACCCTACCCACCTAACGCATTATAAGATTTAACATGTAATTACTGCTAAAGACTATTGTTATAGTTTATTCCATAGGGTTAACATGGGCACGCTCTAACACATGTATCTAAAGAATTACAGCTTAAGACTATGACATATGTTTAACATTCTAATCTATTTTTTAAGTAATATCCGAATTGTAGTTAAATTTTAAACATCACTTTGATTTTTGTTTGATATTATCTTAGTAATTATGAATCATTTATATTCTAGTATAGCAAGTAAATACTCCTTGTATATATAAATAATATACATTTTTATTTCTTTTTGATCTAGATAAATTTGATCCCAATACTGATTATTGCGTCGGAAATGAAACGGAGGCTGAATGTGTCTATAAGGGAGACAGTGGCGGACCCCTAAATTGCCAACTGGCCACCGGATTTTGGGTGGCAGAGGGTGTTGTGTCCTATGGCACTGATGTTGGTTGCGGAATGGAAAGATCACCTAGCATTTTTACCCGCGTTTCTGCCTATATACCATGGATTAAATCGATTATTGAGCCAAAATTTTAAATTGTTTTAATTTTGAAAGTTAAATGTAATTAATTACATTAATGGTTAACTATTCATTCCAGATTCTAATATAAAATATTTGTTTAATAAAGAGCATTATAAAATTATTGTTTATTATTACATTTGTCCGCAACCAACACATACCCAAGGCGTTGATGTAAATAAAGAGATGGACTATTATCTGAAAAATTTTCACCCAAGAATCGCATTATAGCTATACTTTGGGTCAGTATAAGGTCAGTGTCGATATAGTAGGGAATGTTAGGAAAGTCCAAATTCAGTGTAAACTTTTCCGACTGCCAGTCCGTAGGGTTGGCATAACGCTTGTCCGTGAACTGTAAGCCCGCGTACTTCAATAGTAAGCTTATGGACTGCGCCCGACCCCTACACGCCCATTAGCCCCCTGTTGGTAATGTTGACATTGTTGGTTTAGCTCGTGCTGTTATATATTTTAAGATCTAGTTAGTTTAATATTTTTAGTTTAACTAATACTCAAAATAATACCGTAATAATAAATATAAAAAATATTAATTAAAATTTTTAGGCTAGATAAATTTTTAATACAAACTGGTTAGATTATAAATGTTTATAGCTTAAAACAGTAAAAATAACTATTAAAAGTTGATGTAGATCGTTTACTTATATAGTTGTTGTAAAAATACTGTTTTTATGTAAATCATTACAAGGTAAAAAGTATCATAGTAAACAGGAATGTTCTGTAATAAAATTGTGCTGATTGAACATTATATAATATTTGAAAAACAAACTTCCTGAGAATATTATCGAACAATGATTGTTTAATTAAACTTAATATTATGTTATACTTTTTGATTCGTTTTTTGTTTGCCTAATCACACATAACTAACGCATAAAAAATTAATAATTTAACATGTTTAGTAGATTTTTACAATTATATGAAAAATAAGTTATAAAATTCTGGTCAATAATAAAAATTACTAAATAATAAATTATGGTTACAATAAAATAAAACAAAAAATCAATAAAATCTCATTTAACTTTAATTGCAAAAGTTAATAAATAACAAAATAGTGTATATCATTGTTTCTCTGTTTCTTTATCACTTGTTTATTACAATTGGTTATCAATTATGAAATGATTTTCTGTTAAAAATGTTATTAAAATAGATTTGAATTTACATTCTTTTTGTTATAAAGTAAAAATAAATATAATTTATAACTTTGACTAAAAATATAATTAATATATTTATATAGTTTGAGAAAAAATTACAAAATCAATTAAAAATCTAAACAAAACCAAAACATTGAAATGAAAAACAAAATAAATAATTTGATAACAATTTGGGCACAAAATAACTGATCAAATGATGAATTGAAATGTGTCTCAAAACGCATAGACATCTCCGGCTATCGACACCACAATCGCCGCTAATAAAAGCATATAAGAAGTGACCAAATGGTGAGGTCTCGCGACGGACTCCGGTATCTGACAAACCGGTCACAGGCGGCGGTCAGCGGGCAATTAATGGTATGTCGGGATCACTATCAACATCTTGATGGTTTATCTCTATCCTATTTACAATATAAATATCATTTATTTGGGCAAATCTATTATTATTATCTAATTATTAATTATAAATATAAAATTAATTTTTATATAACAATTAATTACCGATTTTGTTGTTTAAGTATTTGGCGACAATAATTATAAATGAATTTATAATTAATAAACTTTACCATAAATATTGGTATTCTCAACGTAATAGCTCTTTTCATACGTGAGATTATATTATTGTTTATTTTATTGCAATTTTGGCCAAAAATATTATTAAATTCATTTATTATATCGTTTATATCTTTATCACTATTTGTATTATGCAATTCATAAATAAATCCTTGCATTTGATCGACATTTACACCAAAGTTATTAAATACAAATGCCTTGTAATCAACTTCTTTGTACTCATTTCTATAAAATAAATGAATAAGATATAATAAGCATTATATTAAATATTTACCTAATATGCTTTAATTGTATTTCAAGCAATGTAGTGGCAATTTCTCCAATTTTATTAATTATGGAGTAATTTATAATTGTTGTATTGTTTGTTTTATCAAAACATTTATAATAATCATAGTAGAACATCATGTAATTGTCATCAATTATTTTATCATTATTTATGAATATGTATTTAGGAGTGAGTAAAATGTTTTCAATTTTAATATCCAAAGCAATCACTGCTTGAATACAATGTAATAATTGTCTCAACAATTGCTGTGAAATAAGGAAATCAATTGAAATCAATGCCAACGAGTGATGGGTTTGTGTCCCAAATATCACGTGTTTTGCATTTATGACATCCCATAGAGTTTGCGGACAGAACTCTGTTTGAATATAAATCTCATTATTTTCAATCCAATAGATATATTTGAAGTAAATTGGGGTTTTATTTCAAATATTTTCTTTATATTTGTCACAAATTGTTTTAATTTTTTGATATCATCTATAAATACAAAAATATTTTAAATGTTATATTTTTAATAGAACAATATTTATTATTGTATATTTTTATAATTATATTGTAATATATTGTATGTTATTTATAATAATATATTCAGGTTATTTATATAGTTAGAGACAAAATTAATTATAATAGAGAAACAAAACTAAAATATTGAAATAAAGTCAAAACAAAACAAATACAAAACAATACAATACAATCTTTACAATACAAAATCAATAATTTGATAACAATTTTGGCACAAAATAACGAATGAAATGATGGCTTGAATTGATTGTTAAAATCCATAGATTGAGACGACTATCGACACCACAATCACTGCCACAAAAGCATATAAGAAGCCACCAAATGGTGAGGTTTGGCGGCGGACTCCGGTATCTGATAGAAACCGCTGCGCAACGACTTTCCAAATAACAATTAACAGTATTTGATAATTAATGAGTCTATCTAAATAACTGTTTCACAAAAATTTAGTCCACTCAATGTGGTCGGCACAAGTGGTTGTTTGGTGTCGTATATATATATGCCATAAAGGGATTAGACGTATACAATGGCATATCGGTGTTAGTTTTGTGTTAACAATTAATGTTGTTTTACTATATGAATCCGTTATTTGTGTGTATCTATTATAGTATATTTATTAATTGGTATGTATTTTATATAATTTTTAAATTAAATAAATCTAAAGCTTTACTACTCACTGATTATGATGTTTAAGTATTTCTTTGAAATAATTATAAATGAGTTTATAATCAATGGATTTTGCGTGAAATATAGGGATTCGCCACAGAATTGCACTTTTCATGTTTGAAATAATATTAGCGTTTATTTGGTTTGCATTTTCACCAAAAATATCATTGAATTCATTCATTATATTAAAAATATCTTGTGGTTTATCCCATGTTGGTGTAAGTAATATATTAATAAATGCTTGAATTTGGCTGACATCTACACCAAAATTATTATAAATAAATGTCTTGTAATCTTTGCGTTTACTGTAAATTTTAAATCATTAATTATATACAGTATATTTAAATAAAAAATAATACTTAATGTTTTCAAATTGAATTTCAAACAAAATTTTGGCAATTTGTCCGATTACAGACATTTTATTAAGTATCATAACTAGTGAAAATGTTGTATTATGATTACTATTTATATAATCGTCATAATATAATTTCATATAATTTCGCCAAGTATGTCATCGGTTATAATAAATATGCGCTCAGTATATAGGGAAATGTTTGAAATATTTACATCATAATTAACCACAGCTTGAATACAATGTAATAATTGTCTCAACAATTGCTGTGAAATAAGGAAATCAATTGAAATCATTGCCAACGAGTGATGGGTTTGTGTCCCAAATATCACGTGTTTTGCATTTATGACATCCCTTAGAGTTTGCGAACAAAACTCTGATTGAATGTAAATCTCGTTGCTTTCAATCCAAGAGTTATAAATTTGAATCAAATATTTAGGTTTTAAATTATATATTTTCTGTATGTCGTTTACAACAATCTTGAATACATTATTAGTTAAATCTGTAAACAAATATTTGAGATTAGCAGTATTTTGAATAAATAACTACGTGTAATTTATTATAAACAATTTTTGCATTAATCATGCCGACTTACCTTTTTTATAACATTTGGTTAAAAAATAAAAGTTACTATTTAAACGATGTTTAACTTTCGTTAAATTAGTAAAATGTGATTTGTTATACAATGAAGTTTCAAACAATTGATGTCCGTACGCTGTATAAGCTCTAGTAATAACTATAATAATACAACAAATAAAATGCATAAATAAAATAAGATATATAAATAGCGTATATTAAATACCGTTTGTCGTATCATTTGTTTGGCAAATACTAAGCAAACATTCCTGGTAATAAATAAAACTGTAATACGAAAACAATTTAAATTTAACTTCATGGATATTATTAAAAATTTGTGCATCGTATTTCTCGGTTCTGCCAGAAATGCTCGGTTCAATCGCTAAATGCTTTAATTGTTTTAAAATGACTTCACATTCGGGTCTTAGTCTCCAATCAGTCTTTCCATAACTCTCTGTATATATACTAACACTCATTGATAGCAATAATCCGTATATTTTTGATAATTTAATCATAATATTTGAATTTTTAATATTTTCTAGATTGAAATCCAATCTACAAATATAATTATTGGTTAAAAAATTATACAATCATTTTTTAATTTTTATTATATAATAACATACACTCCGTCTCTGATATCGTTTGAATCAAAATTTATTACGCTTAATAATTTTTACATTAATAAACATCAATTGACATATAAAACCATTGATCGCACTAAACATAACAATTGTGATAAAATATTAAGTAACTTGCATTATGCCAGACTATAGACATCTATTAAATGGTTGTATTCAGTGGTCTGTCCTTCGGGTGCCATATAATTAACATTGTCTATAAAATCGGCGGTATTTTTAACACTACTTTGTTTGTATCGATCACTCAATACATTGACTTCTTTAGACAAACCGAAGTCACATAACTTTATATATCTATTATTGGTATCTTTGTTATCAATTAAAACATTATCAGGTTTGAGGTCTCTGTGAATAATATTATTTTTATGCAAATACTCCACACTTTCGACTAATTGTTTGAATAATTCATATGATATATAATATTCAAAAGTACACATTTGTTTACCAAATAAATGTTTCTTGGTTTTCAAAACATGTGCTAAATTTCCCGCTAAACAATCCATTTGAATATATAAACAGTTGTATTGAATCCATGAATAGTAGTATTGAATTACATATTCTGAGCGTAATTTTATCAGATTTTCCGTTTCTTTCAAAACGTTGTCTTTTTGCTTTGCAGTTAAATCTTAAAGAAATGCGTTTTTTAATATATATAAATAATACTAATAACAAATATCAAGTTGTAATTGAAACATTATTAGAGTGCAAATAAATTTCATACAATATTTTAATCAAATAATGAATTAATTTAGTTTGGCTCCGCTTAATCTAGTCTTGGCCAAAATAAGAAAGTTTCTAAATTTTCTGTTTTTGCTTTTATATGATCAATATGACAAATTGCGTATTTAGCAAACATACTCAAAAAATGTAACATTTTGCCAAAAGCATAATTTCATTTTGGCCAACACTAGTTTTATCATTATAATTAATACTGACCTTTCAATTGGCACTTTTTAATTGCATAAATTTGATTGCTATATTTATTGATCACTTTAGTCACTTGCCCAAAACCACCTGCTCCAACTTTTATTAATGTTCTATACATAACGATATCATTTAATTGACGATAAGATTCTAACGTAATATTTATGAAATGACAAAATTAGATTATATTATCATTGGTTTAAAAATATTATCAAAAATAGGGTGGTCGGAATATATTGGACATTCTATTTTTTCTTAAAAATTTGTAACTGTATATTATATGAAGCAAATAATTATATAATAGATTGTACAAAATAATTAATAGGAAATTTTTATTTGTAATAAAAATAACATGACCAGTGTTGTAAATAGGGTAGTGATATAAATGGATTTTTTTTCTTACCCGAGTAATGCAAGTTACTTAATATTTTATCACAATTGTTATGTTTAGTGCGATCAATGGTTTTATATGTCAATTGATGTTTATTAATGTAAAAATTATTAAGCGTAATAAATTTTGATTCAAGCCATTCACTAAATTTATTACTATATTCATACACTCGATCGCCGCTACAGCCAACAATTCTGGTAAAAAAGATGCTTTTTAAACTAACAATTTCGTCAAACAATAAATTGTTTATCACAAACAGATTTTCATATATAATTTCAAAAATTTTAACTTTTTTATCTTTGGTTAAGATTATAAATCTGCCTAAACTTGTCTCATATATAGTTTCAATATCATTGACATTGGGCAATAATGTTGGTAGATTTATTTTTGAAGCATCTAACCACATTAAGGCAGATCCATTGGATGTGATGGCAAATGAATGCCATTTAGAGCACATAATGTCCACTATTTTGTATTCAACGGGAAATTGTATTTCAATTGGTTTATATATTTCTAATGAATAATATTCCCATTGAAATACACGGCCATCAAATGTCAGAGCAATCGTGTTATCCCATAAACATAATTTTTCAATACACATATCATGTGAAGTACTTAATATTATTCTATGAGGTTTGTTATAAATATATACAATATTTGACTTATACAAACCCCAGCCGTATAAGTGATGATCGCTATTCATTGCGTATACAAAGTCTACACCATCAACAAAATATTGTATATTATTATCACTTAATTCCAGCACTTCTTCGGGTATATCGACGCATCGGTTGTGTCCCAAACCTAACACACCGAACGCATTACTGCCCAACTCATAGACCCGATCACTATTAGTCACAAACAGTATATTTTTCCCTTTTAAGTAGTCGTCATTAAAAACATGAAATAATTTGATTTCTTGTCTTAAATTGTCGGGAATTTTGTCACAAATTGAAAACTCATCCAAAATTTCAGACATTATTAAAGGTGTTTATTTATATAATAGTGACACAATTAATTTGGTTATTAACAAATAATCACAAATTATTTAATTTTAATGATAAAATAGTAATAGAATAAATTTATAATATATTTAGATTAATAGAAAGATTAATAATTATAATTATTTCATAAAAATTATATTTTTTATGGCATTTAACGGTTTAATATAACGTTTAACGGCAAAGATGGCATATTAATCTACACTCCTATTGCTTTTCGTTATTAATAAAATTAAGATAAACATAAAATTTAATACCGTGTTTGGTTGTTAAAGACATACACAACACACATGATAATTGCTATACATTTCACAATAGATAACAACAGTAAAAATAATTTTCTTTAAATACTTTGTATTTAATATAATGATAATTTCAACAATATTAAATCTTATCTATAAATCAATAAGAGAACAAACGACAAGACCGCGATGAATACTGATATAATCACTTTTTGTAGCAAACATTATGGTTTTTTATATGATAGTTGTATAAAATATTTTTAATTTGAGTACAATCATTCAAAAAATCATTTTATATTTAATAAACAGACATTTCTGCTATAAAACAGTTATAAAATCTATAGTATAATTTAAAACTAAATTAAAACACAACACAAAATATTTGGGTTTTAAAATAATACACAAACAATTATTTATAAAAATAGATAAAACATAAAAATGAAATATAAAATAAAAAGTTGATAACAATTTGTAAACTTAATAATTGATTGCAACGAAAGACTTGAATTTGACGCCAAATAGGGATAACACTAATGAAAGTGCGAACAAAAGCCATAGACATTGACGGCTATCGACACCACTATTGCCGCCAATAATACGGAAACTGCGGTCAACTGCGGGTTAGGTCTAGCAGTGGATGACTGGTTGGGACCGGAATGCTGTGGCGGACGGACACCAACGGCGACGGACGGAGTGGGCGTAGGAAACGGATCAATACCTTTGGCCAGACTGTCAACGATATGGTCGCAGTCGGCGCCCATCGGTAACCGATCGGACAGACTGTTGCAAAAGCTATCACTCAATTGATGTCCCTTTTTGTTACGCAAATGGATTTCAGAGCCCTATAACTGGTTTGCCCTCATCTTTACGACAGTGTTTGTGAACCTAACCATACATTCACACAATGGTTGTGTTAATACATATTAAAACATACATTTATACAATGAATAGCATATATGGACACAACATACCAGTGTCTTAACGCCGCGATGCAATTCGTATTCATTGCAACATGATTTGGCCGACCAGTTGACCAGATCGTCCATGGTCAGATTCCAGCCATTTGTCAAACATGTATATAATTTCTTATCAATGCTTTTGATATAATCGGAGTTCCCTTTGCAATCGTAACCAAACATGTAATACGGCTCGAGTTTTAGCCTTTTATGAGTTGTGGCACCGGTTGTCGGGTCTATACATACTGTGCCAGTGATGGCCACACATATGATTGCGAACACAGTGTATATTATTGTCTCTCTGTTTCTCATCAATTGTTTATTACAATTGGTTTTCAATTATGAATTGATTTTTTGTTAAAAATGTTATTAAAATAAATTTGAATTTTGAAATTTACGTAAATTTATAAAATCCTTTTTGTTGTCAATTATTAATAATAATTTATTATATTTAAAAATAAATATAATTTAAAACTTTGAATAAAAATATATTGTATAGTTTAAGAAAAAATACAAAATAAAATAAAAATCTAAACAAAACTAAAACATTGAAATGAAAAACAAAATAAATAATGTGATTACAATTTGGGCGCAAAATAACTGATCAAATGATGGATTGAAATGTGTCTCAAAACGTATAGACATCGACGCCTATCACCACCACTATTGCCGCCAATAAAAGCTTATTATAAGTAACCAAATGGTGAGGTCTGGCGGCGGACTCCGGTATCTGACAAACCCGTCACAAGCGGCGGTCATCCGGCAACTAATGGTATGTCGGGTTCATTATCAATATCTTGATGATCTATCTCTAACCTATTAGCAATATCGATATCATTTATTTAGGCAAATCTATTATAATTATTTAATTATTAATTATAAATATAAAATTAATTTTTATATAACAATTAATTACCGATTTTGTTGTTTAAGTATTTGGCGACAATAATTATAAATGAATTTATAATTAATAAACTTTACCATAAATATTGG